GCGCCGATATCAAGAAGGCAAAAAAAAAAAAAAAAAAAAAAAAAGAGTTGGGAATACAGAGATTGAACATTTCATTACTTACTTGGGAAAAAACATTTTTCTCAAAACAATGAAATTACGTACAAAACAGATGCACAATATGCCTACTTGAAACTTAAGATTTAAAAAAAATTATTTATAAGGAGAAGGACATGAAAATTTAATTTAATGTTCACCTTAGGTAATTTTGTGTCTTATTGTTCATAGCAATTATCATAAATCTGCATATCAATAAGCGAGAACAGATGTCAGTTGTTACAAGTGCTTGCCAATCAGGTCTGTTAAAAAGTGACAGATGGGTGGTTATGGAACATTCTCATAAGGCCTATTAGCACATTCACAGGAAGTGTCTGTAGTGCGGTACTGCTGGAGACTCAGCTTTGGGAAGAACGAGGGATCTTTGTGGTCTAAGATGCACGCTAAACAATTCTGGGAGAGTCTTCAACGCAGGACTCTCAAACCTCCTACGTATAGTTTTTGCAAATGACTTCCCTCTTCTCTACTTCTGACAGACATTCTAAGATAGTCTTCAAAACCTTAAAAAGATACCTATTTTGTTGTTTCAAGCAAGTATTCGCACTCTACAATTTTACTGTTACTTAGTTCTGGAAGGGATTACTACCAACTTCACTGAATATCGCAGCCCTGGTGGTGCAGTGGTTAACTGGTCGACTGTTCGAATCCACCAGCCGTTCCTTGGAAACCCTACGGGGGCAGTTCTACTCTATCCTACAGGGTCAGAGGGCAACAGGTTTAGTATGGTTTTTTTTCTCTGAATATCAGAATTACAATGAAGCAGTTTTTTTCCTCTTCATCAACAGATAAACGTCTCTTCAGCTACAAATTTATCATCTCCATTATTTAATAATAATTTCTCATCCTAGAAAAACAATTGCCCTAACAAAATACAACCCACTCCTACTAAATTTGAAATGTTTTCCAGAAGGAAAGAAGGCAGTTTTCCTGTTACTGTCTTTGAGTCACTTTTTTTTTGTTTGTTTTTTTAGCAATTTTGGGGCTCTCTCTGCATTATATGGCTAAGGCTCCAGTTTGTTTGGCATCCAGCCTGTTGAACTGTGTACGCATGTCACTACAGTTTGGGTTTATGCAAATAGGTCTGAATTTACTGTTGTTCAAGGTTGGGGCCAACAGAGAGCTCAGGTGTTGGATCAGGTTGACCTGGACTCAAAATCTGAATCTGCCACTAACTAGCTTGATGACTTTGGGCAAGTCTGTTAGCCTCTCTCAGCTTCAGTTGTTCCACCTATAAAATGGGGTACTAATAGTCCTTACCTCATAAAATAGTTGTGATATTTGGGAATTCTGTATCCTGATCCATATTATGCCACACTTACTGGTGCTGTGGTTTCATATACTTCACTTTTCCAACTGTAACAGAGTAACTTGAAGTAGTGGTTTTGTCCATGGCATACTGTGATGGTAAACTACATGATTATTTCACGGAGCTTTGTTAACAACAAAACTGTGAAATACACTATCCTTGTTTTTCTTTCATGACACTCTTTTGACATGATAGTTGTTATAAAAAAATTAAGGACCAAAAAGCCACTCTTTTCTTCTTCCTTATCCTTCAAGAAAAATCCAGACTCTTAGCTCAAACTCTCAGATCCCAAATTCCTGAGATTTCAGAAATTCACTGAACACGTACCACAGCTGAGCGAGAAATGGACACATTTATTAGAAGACTTGAGAGGGGAAATAAAATCAATCAATTTCAAGGATACACAAAAAGTATATATAAAAGCACTCAGCTTATAAAAATCTGATCCTAATCCAATTTCTGCTTTTAAATCCCATATTTAATAAAGGTTTCTTTTATAAAATCATAAAATATGTTTGAAGTTAATTTTAGTTTGAAAAAAATGTAAGATTTCTTGAGGGAAGAAAGTATAGTTGATGTCTCCTTTGATTTTATTGATGCAACGACTTGGTACCTTGTTCTCTAAAATTTCTTTTTCTTTTTTTCGCTTTATTTTCTCCTCAAACAGAAAATGCTTTACCTCATAAACGAAGCATTTTAGACTCTGGTTATAACCTTCAATCTCCTTAAGGATAGACATTATGTTTTGAAAGCTGCTCACAACAAAATATTGGCCTCCGAAACGGTATTTCACTCTCTTTAGTGCTAGTGTTCCGAGCAGGACTACCTGAACTTTACACCTGGAGTTTATTATATGCTGCTGTAATACATAAAAATTGCATTTGAATTGTGTACCTGCCCACTCTCACCCCATCACACTATCAGTCATTGAACAAGCATTTTAACATCAGGTGGGGTTTGGGCTAAATGACCTCTTAGATTCCTTCAACCCTCATAACATATTGCCTTTGTATATGACTACATGCCAGGTGCTCTGCTACATGTTTCATATTATACAAGCCTCTCTATCTCCAAATCCTCAATAACTCACTCATGAAGATAATAGCTTTAGTTTATATGTTTTTTGGTTTATATGCAAGGTTAAAGTCAAATTTCTTAATTCAAAAACTGAGCATTTAACTTAACCTCCACTGGGAATATTCCCAAAAATATAAATGTGTGTGTGTTAATTTATAAATTTATTCTTCACTCTTCCATTCAAAATTAGCCATGAACATCTCTTTGTGGCAGGTACTCCTGGAAGCACGGAGCCATCAGCTGGCAGGCCATGTCCTCTTGGAGTTCAGAGTAAAGCATGGGGCACCAATGAGTCTGGAGACAATTACAGTGTTCAGAAAGGTGAAGCAGGAAGATAAAGAAGTGAAGGGCTTTAGGGGAATGCAAAAGAGGGGCACCCCTTCCACATTTGGAGGAGCAAGGAAAGCTTCCTCTAGTAAGTGACCTCTATTACCGAATCTGCCATGTCCGCTTTATAATACTGTCTTAAATTACTGGCAAAGTAAAAAGTTAAGCCCTACTTTTGAGAGAAGACAAAAGAGTAGGACATATAATTTTTCTTCATTGGAAAATAAATACCTCAAACCATATGCTTCAAGTACTTAGGAAGATGAGGCCTGATTATTCACATGAAGGGCCCCCTTTGCAGAAATTGCTAAGCAGACAGAGCCCTGGCAAATAGTCAAGACGATGGTAGATAATTGACTTTTCAGCATTTGATTTCACAGCCTGTGCAGGCTCAGCATGCTGAATTTAATCGGTTGAAGGTTCGAGAACGGGATATTTTGGAAAGCCCAGAGCATTTACAGAATGCCTTTAAATTAGCCATCTGCTCCATAGTACCTTATAAGGAGGCTCCCAGATAGCCTTAGTTTTTAAATGAGCACACAGAGCATGTAAATGCTAACATCCTGACCTGTAGTTGGCAAGGCAGAGAAGCATACATGTTAATGACAAATGACAGGACACTCTGTCCACCAGGGAAGACATGCTTGGCAGCAGCCTCAGGACCCAGTGACCCTCTCTGCATTATTCAACTGTGGGAGTGGGACAGCCTGAGGCTCCCTTTAAGGAAAGCCCCTAATTTTGGATTTGGGCGGGTCCATATTATTAGAGGAAAAACTCATCTTCCATCGGTAGAAACTGTGACAAATCTTAGCATTTATGTTAGAGCTTGCAATCTGGAGGTTTGTTCTCTTTAAGATATAGATAACTCTCTGAATATTTATCTCTCTCCAGCTCCCTATACAGAACAGAAAATAAATTAACCATTCAACGCAATTCTTAGCTCCAAGGCCAGCTTCCCGAACTGCATTCATACAGGTAGTGATGAATGATTTAATTATTTACCATGTTAAGATATGTATTTCTTTCAATAACACCAAAACCTATATTAAAACAGAACAAGCGGGCAGCGCCAGCAAATTTCAAGCCGAAAGAATAATTCAGTAGTATTTTTTATTGTACGCCAATACATACCGTCAAACAACTTCCCATTAGAGGCTGATGATCATGAATACCCATAGGGAGAAACCTGTGTACTCACTGAAAGTCTTTCAAGATTCATTCAAAGTGGAAAAAAAAAAAAAAGGCAAGAATATGTATTTGAAAAAAAGAAAAAAAGGTGGGGGGAGGAACAAGGGAGTTTTCATAGTGACAGATAAAGAAATCTGCCTTTAATTCTGCACATTCAGGTTTCACTTCATTGATTCAGGGTGTCCTTGATTAAAACAAACTGTGTTTGATCTAAAATGCCAAGAATCTGTTCTTCTCCTTGCCCTCTCTCCCCCACCTCTTTGGAATCAAACAAGAAGAAAGCTTTCTAACTGTTCCTCCTGGCAGGTTAATGGGCACCTGTGTTCTGATTTATTGCACATGCTGCCTTCCCTGGCACCACGTTAAGTTAGGATATCAGCATGGAAGGTTACACAGTAGGAATGACCTTTTACTAATCACTGCACCTCAGTTACTACTGGCACAGCTCATTATAAAAAGAAATCCTTCAATGAGCTGGCTTTCAAATATAGTCACACTTTGATTTTGTCGAGAACAAAGATTATACTTTCACATAAAAGCTTCTGATGCATAATTCTGTCAGCTGGGGTATGAAAGTTAAAAAAAAGGCATCCTGTTAATTGTCTGTGGTTATCGAGGGACTGCAAAACTGTATCAAAGATAGGCCTGTGATCTTGGCTTTCATTGTGGAGGTCAGGACATTTTTATTGACTACCTATTATGAAAATTTTAGAGGGATGTCAATCATTTTGGCTGCTCTGGATGTGGGAATCTTGCTGGAAATCCCCCACTCACCAATCCCATTGTAAAGACACTGTCCAGGACACTATGCAAGAATTCACATAACTGTTTCATAACTGTTATGCAAGGTGAAGGGTGGATAGGAATTCCAAGAGGTAGGAAACCGACTTCAGAGCAGCTGATTCTAATTTAGACACTTCAGCTAGAAAGCTAATAGGCTTTCTCCTTTTCCCCTGCTTCTTTGTCCTCTCAACCAATCCAAAATTCAGACAACAGCCTGGTCAAATGGACATGCTTCAAGACTTACCAGCCATTTGCTGAATGCCACTGAACGCACCCAGGTTGCTCGAGGAGGTGGCCTGCTGCAGTAGCTGCAAATGAAAGTAAACGTGTACTGTCAAAACAATGTTGAGAAGAGAACAAAGTAACTTCTGAATTACCGTGGGGGTAAACTCAGTTTCCTTTACATTTATATAGTTGACTGCTGCTGCCTATTGATGGACTGAAGGTTCCCAGAGTTGGGGCTGTAAATCCATATTAGTGTCTAATCTCTATTAAGAAACACAGACACTGGGGAAACTCAATAATACTGCTGTCTTACAACAATCAATTTACTCTTTTTAACAACCAGGTGTTAAGTCTATTGAAACCAACATAGTGTGACTAATTGTATCTCTCTGTAGTTTAGTAGTTACCATAACTCTTCTCTGTCAATCACGGTACATTCCCTCAATCTCTTCTACTTTCATTCCCAGTTTGGTTTCCTATATTCTTCATTAAAAGCACATGGATTCACTGACTCTTAGGCCAACAGATAAATCAAAATAACTATATACTTGAATGTATCTATTCACAGCTGTATAGTTACAGCCATAACTACATGACCAAGAAAACAGCCATTCATTTTAAGATGGTCTCCACTGGCAAAGAAAAGAATATTATTTGTCAAAACTTGGAAGAATCTAGTGCTATGTACAACGAAGCTATGCATTATAAATGTTAGAATTAAAAAAGAAAAAAATTACCAGTAACATATAAGTGAAAAACTCCCTGCATTTTCCCCTAAAGCTTTCAAAAACAAAAAATTTTCCCACATACAATCAGAGAGTACTACATGGTAAAGGCATGTGGTTCCTGTATTAAAGTCTACTTATTTGTCTAATTCAGTCAAACTATAGGTTAACTTAGGTGGAAATAGGAGCCTGCTGGACTAAATGACTAGATTTATTGATATTCTCTTTTTGGTAGGGTTGATCAATACATGACTTGTGTGTAGGGGCAAGCATACAGTTATCTCCTATATTCAAATGTACATAGATACTAAAAAGCATAGACTCACCAAATTTATTACCAAAAATGTGTTACACTATGTGCTTAAGAGGAATAAGATAAACGGACTTAAAAATAGTTGTCAGAATTTACTTGGAGTTCTGCAGAACATAATACAGAGCACTGCTGTTCTTCTGGGCAAGAATAGGTCTCTTCAGCTGAATAAGAAAAAAAACTCTATAATAGGATCTGACTCAAAAATGGGCATCTATCATTTGACTTAAAAGTACAAAGTATAGCAGAATATCATTGGCTGAAGAAAGCTAAATCTTAGGTTCCATGAAATCATGGGCTTAACATTAACAGTTATCAAAACCAGAAAAATGTCTGTAATGCTCACTCTCATCCCTCTTGACAACTCGGAATATATTACCTAGGTATTACACACGGGCACATACAGAGGGAGAAAGAGAGGGAAAGGGCTAGGGTGGAGCTAGGGATTAGCAATTCTGATAGAAGTATCTTATTTGGTTTGACTTTCTGGGTTTCCCATTCTCTTGTGCTTGCGACCCTACCTCCTGTACATATTAGATATTTTTTAAAAATTAAAGCTAAGTGAAATTAAATTAGTTTTTAAGATATTTTAGAGAATTAATAATACCTACTGAAGTAAGCAGAAATACCTAGGGTGTCATTAAACTATCATCAACGATTATTTCCATAGATAACCACTCTGGAGATCCAGGGTTAGAGTCCTTCCTCAACACAGACGTAGGGCATGCCTTAGAGATCAATGGCCTTTTCAAAGAAATGGATTTCTAGCTTCTATATCTGGAGTTGAAAGTGTCAGGATGTTGGAAGAGTGAGCACTTGAGAAGACGCAATGGGAGTGAGAGTAAATAAGAAGACATGTACCATGTATTTATACATAGAAGACAAGTAATTCAGACATTACAGGCAGTCCCCGGGTTATGAACGAGATCTGTTACTATAGCTTCAAGAATTTGTAGGTTTAAGTTGGACCAGGTGCATATGGTTCTTATTTAGCCTTACTTTAGTGCAAGAAAAGGCTCAAAGCCTTTTCGATGGTTTAAAAGCTGCAAGTGCAGCAAGTGAAGGTGATTGTGATGAAGAATTTGTTGCGAGTAGGAGGTGGATCGTTTCAAAGTCAGGGCAAATTTACATAACATTAAAGGGCAAGTAGGAGCTGTCTATAAGCTGGACGTTCATAACCAGGGTACTGCCTGTACAGAAAGCCACTGCCTGTCTTCAGCATTACTGTTGCTGTGAACAGGACTCCTGGGGGCACACTGACCCATACACTGAGGAAACCTGCAATTTGGGTAAAACATTTGTCAACAGGAAGATGGAACATGAGGTCCCTTCCTACTTAGTGAGGGCAGTCTGGAAAAAAATGGTCAACTATGCAGTTTCTGTTCAGTGTGCCTAATGTTGGTCTTTCTCCATTCTTATAACTTCTACACCCCTCCTCAGGCACTCAGTTGGAATCTGATGATCACATTCAATATGTATCCTTTCTAAAAGGGTATTCCTTTTAATGGGGATCCAGACCTTAAGCCATTTAAAAAAAAAAAAAAAAACTTCTGCTGGCTGTGTGTAAGAACTAGCAAGTCAGAAGGGATAATTTGGAGAGGGGGCAGGGAGGTTTTCTCTGAACTCCTAAATACATACCACAAAGTGATCCACTAATTATGATACTCACACAGTTGGCCTTGACTTCCACTTCTGTCAAAAGGCAAGAAGTAGCAGAGGACTCTAGCTCTACCGGCACTGTCAGAATTTCCATCTCCCTAAGAGCATAGTCTTACCGATGAGTGCACTTTTCAGGAGACCAAGGAAGTAAATAAAGGGACAGGTTCTCCTTCATTTAATTCTCTCAAGGGTCAAAATATCCTTAAAAAGGGATACGTAACAAGAAGAATGAACAATTTCCAAAGGAAGAAACTGGCTGATAATACAATGTGGAAGAAAAGTGAGGGAGGGTAAACAAAGTTTTACTCTTGTGAGAGTGTGCATAAGGGTGGATGTCAAGGACGAGACTTTAAAAACAGATTTAGAGAAGTTAATATTTAGCACGAGCTAAAGCTAAAAAAAAGAAAACTAATAATTTAGAATTTTTTTTAAAGCGATAGTATAAAAAGAACAAAGAAGGGATACACATCACTGTTTGCAGTAGTTGGTGGCAACGTTATGAGAGGACAGAAAGAAATCTTAACTACGTAACTCATATCTTGCCTCCACGTTCTTTATTGAAGTGAGTGAACTTTAAATTGAAAGAGGAAACATGCCTGAGAAGGAACGGAAGACCACAATAAGACAGAACATAGTATGAGCTTATAAAAATGTTTTTATAAATGGAAGAGTTTGCAGAGGTGATCAAAGAAACATGCTAGAGATTGTTGTGAGCCATCAAGGATGGGAGATGTCTCAGAACACTGGGGACTGCATTTGAGTCTTCATTTTCAGAAATGGTGGGGCAGGGAGCTGGATTTTTAGAAACCGTGAAAAGGTGAGCTTGACTTCAGTCTGATAAAAATTCTGGTATACATAATAAAGCAGATGGTCTGCGAACACTTGAAAAGCACAAGTTTGTGAAAAACAAGTTATTGTTAAGCTAGATTCATTTCTTTTATAAGTAAAAATTTTAGAATGACAGAGCAGGAGAAATATATGAAGAACATTTATAAGTTTTAGCACTGACAAAATCTCTCATGCTACCTGTGGATACGTGGAGAAAATGCTAGAAGATGATAGTAAACTAGGACAATGCTTTTATCAATGACTTAGATGAAGACAGGAAAATTATACTTCTCATTCATAACCAAACAATAGCTATTACATACCAGAGCCCACTGGGCACTGGGGATAGGTGGGTAAAAAGATGTGCATTATCCTTATCTGCACTCAGAGAATCCTTAGAGAAGCAGTACGGTAGAGGGAGAAAACACGCAGAGGGGCTGAAATCCCACTTGGCCACCAGCAGCAGTATGATCTTGGGTAAAGTTACTTAACCTCTTTAAGCCTCCCTTTCCTCATCTGTACAACTGGGATCATCTCATCTTTCAAGGTAATAAATAGTTGCCATCGAGTCAGCTCTGACTCAAGGCGACCCCAAGTGTGTCAGAACAGGCGACCCCAAGTGTGTCAGAACAGAACTGTGCTTTATTAGTGAGGACTGTTTTACAAAACACTTAGCATAGCTTCTGCTACACAGGAAGGCTCATGGATGATTCAGCCCTGGAGGGGATAGTTAAAATGTAAAATGACAGAAGTAGGACATGAAACACATACAACAAACACACTCACAGAGGCTGGAATAAAAGGCCCAAACTCCTAATATGAAATTACATCAATAAAATGTGAAGTTCAGCATTTAGGTTCCAAAGCAGAAAAATGGGGTGGAGTAGAATGGTTTAGCAACAGTTCAAGTAAAAACAAACGCAAACTTTGGAGTATTAGCTGCCTTCCATCCCACATCTGACATGGCTACTGAAGATGCCAGTCTCAGGCTACATAAGATACTAAGCCCACACCAGGGGTCACTTCTCTGTCCAGATTAGATCTTACTAAAGGAATTGTCTTAAATTCTGGCCACTGGATTTTTAATAAACATACTGACATAGTGAAATGGGTAGCACAAAGGGGGGGGGGGGAAACAAGAAAGTGAGAATCTAGAGACCATGAAATGTAGTGAGTGATTCAAAGAATTGAGTCTGTTTGACCTAAAATGGGATCTAATTTTTTGTTTTGTTTTCAAATAGATGAAGAAACATTTGATTTAGTCAACGAAGATCCACTGGAAAGACCCAGGATCACCAAATGAACGTTACAGGAGATTTTAGTTGAGGTCCTGATGTGGAATGGACTAACCTGTGAGGCAGTGAACCCTCCAACCCAGTAGTATAAGTACTCTTAAATAACCATCTATCAGGTATGCTGCAGAGGCATGGGACGTGGAATGAAAGCTGATCCTCCTTCTAACCCAGGGTTTTATGATGCCTCTGAAACACTGGTTAGAAAACTGGGGTAGCCTTGTGGGACTCTGCCTGGCCTACATCAGGCAAGAATTAGTCAAATTCTCATGCTAATCAATTTAACTTGGTAAAATATTCTTCACCAACACTGATCTCAATGATTTCCTGGGATTCAAAATGTACCAAAAATGAATTCTTTAGGGCACTAAGAGGGATAGTAGGTCTTAAGAGTTTCAGTGTGTATATATTCCTCTCTCTCACGCGGACCCCGCACTGACTTTCTCAAGAACTTACCGCCAGGTACTGTGGGGTAAGTCCGCCCAGACCTGTCAGGTTCCCCCAGGTGGCAGTGTTGAGCTGTTGCATCTGTTGTGCAAGCTGCTGTTGGAGGCGTCTTTGCTCTTTGTCCTTCTGAGTATCGGCAAACTTCACCACGATAGGTGAAGAGCAGCCCTGTGGTCAGACACATTGGAAAGTGAAGAGGGAAGTTACAGCCTGGTTGTATCCTCTCATGATACTCAATCAGCACTGGATCTATCTTTCTTAACTATCTTGGAGCACATGGAATGGTCTGGAATTGTTTAAAAATGGTTTGATATTCCTTCTTCTTCTCTGAATAGTACCATCAACAGAAAATTCCAGAAGCTATCTTTGGTTTCTGTGGGGATCTGGCGGTTGGTGAAGCCATTTGCTTTCTTGTTCTGATTATTAAACTGCCTATCCTTCTCTCTTCGTGTATCTTCCTTCAACCTTTCCAGGACCTCCTTAGAGACGATAGACCTTATCAATGTTCTTTAATTAAGCTTCATGGTTCACTTGTCTTTTTAAAGATAGACTTGTCTCTGTGTGTCTGCCTGTTTCCATATATGAGCAGAGGACAAAGAGGGGGTGAAACTGTAATGGGAATAAAAAAGTCTCTGATTTTTTTTTTAATCTTTCCAATTTTCAGTTATGAATTGTTGAACTTCGGAACTGACGAGAATCGTATCGATCCAGCAATAATCGGGAGATAAGGGTTTCATTTTAGGAATGTGAAGGAAGGATATATTGAGAGAACATAGGCATTGATTAAAGTAATGGTTCACAAGTTTTCAGAAAGATCTCTCTTCTTCCTTCCACAGCACATCTACTCTACCCACAGTCCCCAGAGAGACCGCAAACCAAAAAAATCAGAAGCACATTCCAGTCAAAGGAGACATATTATAAACGACAGAAGGGAGGATTCTACTTGGTTTCTTTCCCTAATGAATCTCACCATTTTCGGAGTTTCTTTCAGTTTTCATTTCCTTTAAAAGGCAAGGAGTAGGGGTAGTAAGGGAGAAATGGCCAAGGACTATATAATAGAATTCATGGTTGAGACAGATAAAATCATCAGGGATAATAAAGACCTGAACACCTGAAGCATGAAGACTTCCTTTCAAAAGCACCTTTTAAACATTTGCTATTTGGTAAATACTGAGCAGAAATGTCCCCTTCCTCCTCCCTACTCTCTCCTTCCTCTTACTATGGCTTGCCTACACATTTCCTCACAATTAAAGTTGTTACATTTTGCTGAGGTGAAAAGAAGTAATTCTACCTAAGCGATTAAATAAAAACTTTTATTGAAACTCAGCATGTTAACAGGGCTCTCTTCTCTCAGAAATTTTGTACTATTTAAGCGCGCTTTTCCTTTCTCTTCCCTTTAGGTTATTTTTCTTTCTTCTAGAAAACAAACTTCCATATCACCTTGGATAGTTATCGGTGATATAGCTGTGAGTATATGAGGCTCTCATGTCTGTTACTACAAAAAAAATAAATTAAAAAAACTGAATTTGAGCAAAATGTGAGAAAAATGAGGTGACTGTTTCAGTGTTGAACTTCCAGCACATCAATCTTCAGCTCTGGTAGCCAGAGTCACAATAAAGACTGTTAAGTGTCAGTAACTGCATAAAAATAGTATCTTCACCATTTTTTAAATCTATAATTCATTTTTCTTCATCTGCTCCATATTTCAGCACATCATCACTTTAGAGAGCAAAACACTCTGAAAATGGAAATTATATAGAGAAGGGGTTTTGTATGGAAAAGAGTTGTTTGTTGCATTAAATTTGTTCTGTAACAAATTATAATGTCTCCTTCTAACAGTACATCTATTGTTGTTTTGTTCTTCCTTAAATATGGAAAAAATGGCATAAAAGCAGAAAATTAGACCAGTGATTTTAGTTTAAAAATGACTTTTTTAAACCATGAAAGAGAAAAACAGAATGGGGGGAGAGTTGAGTAGAGTGGAGAAATAGAAGGTAAAATATAAAAATTATTTTTAAGACCTTCTTCGTTGAAACTTTAATATTCTCGTAAGTCTGAATTCAGATCTCTTAGATAATACATCTTAGTCAAAGCTGTGAGTCAAAGTCCTGAACATAATGTAACTGGTTAAAAAAAAGAAAAACCTTCAGATGTATAATTAATATGCATCGCATATAATCTTCTGTTTAAATGTCATTTTTAAAAAACTAAATAGGAAATTTAAGTGTTTGAGGGCCCCTTTGTTTAAGCATGTTTGTCCAGGTTTAAAAACAAGTACGTCAAATTCATTTTTTAATGATACTGTTAACAAAGAATCACAGATTTCTTTTGAATACATATACCCCAGTCTCTATACAAATTCTTTTCAGTATGAGAGCATATTATTTCCTTGGTCCTGGTTCATTCCCAGTTCTGCTTTATGATCTTGCTCTCTCCTTCTACAGTAATACAGGAGGGTTGGGGCTCCTTCGGCAGCATTCTCTGTGGTTTCACTTGGGGAAGACGGGGCTCAGTCAGGGTGGAGACTTGCCCCTCCCCAAAGCCGACTAACATAGTTGAAATAATTTGAGGTTAAAATTTCTCCAAGGTGAGTGAGACCAATTTGGGTACAAATCACTAAATTACAGGAAAAAAAATAATTAAAGAACAAACACACATATGGAAGATAATAATACAGGTAAAGACATTTTTTTCCCCAAAAGCACTTTCATTTTAATCTCCCATTTGAAATGCAGCAGGAAATCAGGCTGATCCACAATAATGAAGCAGCCTAAGTTCAGAGAAAGGGGAACAAAAAACACTGTCACATATGCAACTGCATGTTGTACAAGATTGGATTCCTAGATATTTCAAATCCTGCTAATTATTTCCTATCATGGCCGATTTTCGCCTGAGCTTGCCTTCAGGTAGGGGGCATGTGTGTCTTAAAAATACACTGCACTGAAAGGAAAACACATTGATTATATAAGATATGTTAAGAATATCAAAGTCAAAATGAATGTTTGAAAAAGACAATAGGCTTTGCAATGCTGATATCACAAGTCAGAGAAGTACAGTAAACACTTAATGTCTATGCCATGCACACTCCTTCCCCCCCCTTTCCACCCACCTTTTGACTCACTATAAAAAAGTTGCTCACAAAAACATGACGCATAATGATCATTTAGCTCCCAGCATGCTTTGGGAGATGCAGCATTGCAAAAAACAAACAAACAAACAAAAAGGAACCCCAACAAAACGGGGGAGGGGGAGAAGAAGCTCAAACAATTAAGAAATTTTGCACATTAAATAATATTGAAAATATCTTGTTTCTTTTTTCCAAAAAATAAAACATAGCTTCATAGAACACCACAAGGCCACCTCCAGAAAAGATCACCCATACACAAAGATACAGTATACGTAATACAGCAGAACATGCACTCCCATGATTCCATCAGACAATACAGAATAAATAACGGCATATCACTCTTGGAATGCTTTTGTGCAAAATTCTGAAAGGCCATGACCCAAATCACAGACTAAAAGTAGAGAGCCATCTATCTATATTTGTGGGTGAACATCCACACCAGTGTATTCATCTTCCCCTAAGGTCACTATCTCTCATTAGGAGACCAAATTTGAGCCTTTATACTTCTTTGTTATTGCCCACTTTTTAGGATAGAGATAAATCTAATTTTTCAGTGGACTCTTATAAATGAGTATTTTCACTGGTTAAACGAAGTGGGAGAAGTCTTAACTTTCTCCAAAATTTTTGACACAAAAACATAATTCTGTTTGACTAAAGATAACCTGACCCCACATAAAAGAACCTTGTGGTTTAGCGCAGGGTAAGCTGCAATTTGGGGTGGGGATGTTAATGTCTAATCTGTACCAGTCCTGGGGTGGGGAATGTATTTGATTTTTTAGGTACAGAATGACACTTTGCTTAAATTGCACCATGACTTCATATTGCAGGGCCTGCGCCACTGCAACAAAAGGCTCAAAAATATCTGTAGAGCAAGTGGAAGGTTTTACTAAGTGCATTTCAAGTCATTAGGGGAAAAATTCAGAGAGAGAGGGGGAGAGAGAGATTAAAACAGAGAGAGAGAGACAGAGGGAGAGAGAGAATATGAATGAGAATGAATATGAATGAATGAAAAGAGAGATGGTGAAAGTTTAAATCTGTGATTGTCATGTGAACAATCCACACAGGAGAGAATTGCTTTACCATTCCCCATCATTTGCACAAAGAAAACAAAGAAAGGGCAGATGATACAGTACCTCCATGGTCTGAGACTGATGCATGGCTTTGATTGCATTCTGTGCCATTGCCCTTGTAGAAAATGTGACAAACGCACAGCCTGTGGGAAACAAGGGGACAGGGAGCAGGAAAGACAAAAAACAACAAGACAAAAGGGTTGGACGCTTGTTAAACCAACACAGTCTACGAGAACTGCCACAAGACGACACTGTTCTCAGTAGTACATAAAAATAAACAACTTCTCTCTTTGGTTTTATATTATTTTGCTTTTTATTCACAGTGCTGACTTGCTAATCTGACCAAAGCAGAAAGATTTATTTATTAGTTTATTTTTTTTAAATGGAGAGTAGGGGAGGAAGTTGGGTACTTTTTTAGCCACAGGGTTTGAAATTAGCAAGATCTAGTTTGCATTTTGTAGAATAAAAAATTGCTATTTTACATTTTCCCCTTGGATGATCATCTTTACTTAGGGCATCCAAACATTAGGGCTTTGTATTTCAAATTTTATCCTTGATTTTTAAGAAGAAATTATTAAAATCCTCACACCAAGGGCAAATTAGCAAATAAATTTCAAGAGCTCAAAATGTCAGCAAATAATATCTACTATATATACACACATATCTAATCTCTTCTGGGTAGTTAAAAAATATATGTATAAATATAAATTGATGTTATTCAAATACAAATATACCAATACTGTACAAACTATTTAGTAATTACTGTTAGTCGAAACAAATGCTCTATGACGCTGAGAATATCCAACAGTGCATATAAAGTAAAACTGAAAAATTGGCATTGGCTTTTTATTTGTATAAAATCTTCCTGACTTTTGGAAGCTGCAATTCTCTAAAGTGTACCAGAGATTTAACCAATAGACTCACATACGCAAGACACTGTATATTTCTCCAAATGTCTACTGTGTGACCCATAAAACTTTTTGTGTCTGTCTTTTTTCTCGTGCTGTAAATAACTAGAATCTACAGTGGCGGTTCCTGCTTCCTGTACCAGTGCTGGCCACCACACAGGTCATCGCTCCAACTACACGGCTCATTGCCCTTTTCACTAATAAAAACACTGCCTTCTGAAATTTACATTTTATTCATCATGCACCCTTGGGCTTCTTAGAGAAAAAGCCTGTGAAATTAATGCAGATTCAGGCTGATTTTATAATAATACCACGGCATACTAAAAGCTTAGCTAAAGCAACATAGACTTACTCATTTATGATCTCTAATGACTTTAAAAGTGCATTGATTTTCAGCTTCTTTAGCCTTGCACAGTTTGAACTTAGGTATCAGAGAATAATTTAGTGTTCCACTCAATTTCCTCAAAACATTATTATTATTACTACTTAAAAGATTTCCAAATGAAGCAGATCTTAACACTGAGAGGCTGAAGCCTATTGTCATTGCAGAGTGGATGCATGAAATTGGAAGTCTGGCATCAACAATACAATACTGTTGCCCCTGTGGCCAATAAGCAAAATAAAGTGTTCTACATTCAAACAACTAGCAGATTGTTTGGTTTACGTAAATCAATTTGTGAGGCATAAAAAGATGGTTTCTTCTTTTGCTCTGCATGTGTACCTGATGAGATTATCAAGTCAATACTGTTTTAGCACCTTTTAATCAAACAGCAATAAGAGAAAGCAATGCCTGCCCATCACCCCCAAAGCACAACATCATCCAGTCATGAAAATAGATAACGCATTTTGGGTATCATGCTGTAATTTTTAATATACAAAAACTCCTGGTACAAGGGAAATTCATCTCAGATTCACCTCCCTATTAAGCTGGCCCCTTACAAAGCCTGAGTGAAGTCTAGCTTGCTATGAATGCTGAGCTCTTTCACGTAGTTCTTAGGATATTATAGCAGCTGATGAAGTTTACTATTTAAATACACTGCCTGTACCTGTACTAGCTGTCGTCATCAGTAAAAAAAATTAGCTGCTTTCTGTAAGGCATCTAGACAATGTGTGCAACTGAGTGAGAGACAGATGACAGGACCTCTGCAGGCTTCCATACTGATGCTAAGCTCCTAAATTATAGTCCCAAATTTACCATCCATTTCAAAGTAACATCTCTTCAAAAAACAGTATGATTATCACCAACACTATTAACAGAGAAAATAACGCTAAGAAATTTTTATTTTTCCATTCCTTAATGTGAAACAACAATGAAGGCAAAAGCGAATAATCTAATGGAGATAGAGCTGAAGCCATGCGAAGCCCGGACTAACTCTGCTTTTAGTAGTCAGAAGATTGTTTCATTCACTTCATTTGCTCTTATTACCCACCCAGACTAACTCTGCTTTTAATAGTTGAGAAGATTGTTTCATTCACTTCATTTGCTCTTATTATCCAGGAACATGTGCCAACCTGACAGCTTCCAAATGGAGGTTAAGAATGCATAAAAAACATGTAAAATATCAACAAAAATCAATAAGGCACAGTTTATGCATTTACGGCAATTTCATACAAGCAGAACTTTTGTAAGTACTTAGTGAGAAATAGATAGCAATTAACAGGTCTCAAAAGAAAAGTATAAGCAATAGAACAATAAAATTCTCTCTCTATAAACATGAACCATTGCCCTTTCCTCTATGAAACCTGTAATTAAAAACTCGACTGATGTTTCTAATTATACTACCCTTGCCCCATCCAAAAAATGATCTGATAAATCTGATGACTTCTTTAACCTTTTTATTCTATCGGCAATGGTGCAGTAAGAAAGAAGCTGCCTCCTTAGGGACTTCTGTCAAGTTCTGTACTGTATGCAATGTTCAATTACTTAAGAGGGAAAATTACTGTGTCATTTATAAAGAGGGAGTGAATGCTGAAAAATCTCATTCTCTCTGCCACTCTGGATGAAGTCAAGCAACCTTAGAACCAAGTATTTCTTGAACTGGTGGCTTGTTAGCCTTTGTAATCGCTCTCAAAACAGGAGATGACAGTAGTCCCATGGTTAGATTTTAATTTTCTTTCCAACAATGATTTCCAACACCACTGAAAACAGATTAGGCCTCAAATCAGTGGCTTTTCACTCACAGAGGGTCACCTAAACTCCTACCGCCAAGGCTGGCTCATTGCTTGTTCTCACAAGCCAACTAGAAGACTTTCCATTAGACAAAAGTAACTTACGTCATAATAATCATCACCCTCCTCTACTGAAAACAAGCTCCTGGGTGCAATGGAGTTCACTGGGCCTCTGACAGGACAACTGCTTTGAGCCTGCAGGGTCAGCCTTTAACCATTCGGGACTGTTGCACATATGTGCTGCCTCAGCCATCAGTTATCTGGCTACTGATCAAAATGCTGCGGAAGTGAGACTGGGGGAGAAAATATAGGTACTAAAATAAGGAAGCCACATTTCTTTTTGGGTACTTATGATAGCATGTGCATTACTGCCTAAAATCTCCAAATAAATAATAGCAAAAAAAAAAAAAAAAAATCCATCTGTAAATGTGGCCAATGTGCAATTTACCTGGCAATTATTTATTGTCTCCACTTTCAGAATGTCAGAGATTGTTAATAGAAATGAAAGGAGTTGAATTCCTCTTATTTCAGTGAGGCTGCCTTCTCGCTGCTAAAACAATAAATGATTGACTGGGGAAAGGTTTCTCAAAGTAATTTCCTCCTACAGACAGGATCTAAGGAAAGCAAGCAGCCCTGTCACAGAGAAGATTTTGGAATATATCTATTACACTTGTCATTTCAATTGAAAGGATATCTTAACTCAGGTATTTTACCTTTGTCTCAGCTGCAAGAGAATTTGGAGAGAACTAGATGAATTCTTGCCCTGCACCAAAAAAAAAAAGAAGTCTAGGAACGTTTAAAGCACATACAATGCCAGGGCCTCTTGCTTTTCTGCCACTTCTTTGAAAAAAAGAGAAGCAGCAGCCTGCTATATTTCAACTGAAAGAAGCCTCATTTAAAATAACTTGTGCAGCATGAAGGAGATTTCAACCTATGGAAAACTTGTGATAAATTTGTATTCAGTTGAATAAAGATCTTGATGCAGCCATTTTTCCTCACTGTCTCTTTTTAGCAGTGGCAGAGTTTATTAAAAATATGCTACCAATATAATGTTGGGATATACAAGTTAATACTCTAATGCCTCATCCCCAGTGTTGGGTTAGTTTACTTAAAATTGTCATGGAGAGATAATTCATTTATGGCACCTGAGGTTGAGTGCAGATTTGGACATACTTAATAGCTGGCAAAATTTCACCATGGAGATGAGACTGGAAGACTGTATTCAGAACAAGATTTCAGCTTTACGAAATGCAGTCAGTATCTGGGGATGGGGGTGTGGGGGCATTTGATAAATGTTTCCACATGTCTGAATATTCAGGCACTGTGTGGGAAAGGCTCAACTGTTGTGATCAAAACTGCGTCCTCTCCATGTACATGCTTTAAAAGTCAAATGCCAAAGCCCTGTTCGGATATAGCGAAAACAAATGAGGATTTAATGGTTAAATCCAGTCTTTGCTTCCCAACATCCCTGAAAATATTGCCAATTTGTTTTTCAAGGGTTTTGGCAGGAGAATGTTGGAACCCCGTAAACACAGCTGGAATATTCTTAAACAAGCAGAAAGTTACCTTAAATGGCAGTGAAGATTTGACTACAGTTTATGGGAAAGAAAAATGAAGTAAACTCCTTCATTGTCTCTGAGTTACAGATATTCAGTTGCTATGGTGCAGAAAACTCTGTAAATTGTACCCAAATAGCCAATTCTGACTGTGGGGTTATGGGTAAGTGAGAATGTGGGTATTTTAGGAAATCGACATGCTAAAGGAACGCTGTCAAACAAGTGCATTGCTTCGAAACCTCAAACTTTGATTCAGAGAGCAAACATCTTCTTTGAACAGCCATATATGGGCTTGCAGTATCCTGCTTGTTTCCTCAATGAAAGCTCACAGAGCAGGCCTCAAGAGGTTGATCGCCACTGCCGAAGGAACTGAGTATCATGAAGTTGCTCGAAAGCAGCTCAATACCATGTTTTCCAAATTAGAAAAGATAGCAGAATGAGTCATTGCCTCCAAAGGGGAAAATGCATCTTTAGAGGTGGGCATACTACCTAAAGGGGTCCTTGGGTGGCATAAACTGTTAAGGGCTCGACTACCAGCCAAAAAGCTGGCAGTTTGAACCTACCCAGAGGTGCTTCAGAAGACAGGCCTGGCCATCTTCTTATGAACGGTCACAACCATGAAACTGCTGTGGAGCAGTTCTACTCTGCACACATGGGGTGGCCATGGGTCGGAATTGACTCGATGGCAATGAACAACAACAACAACGCTGCCTAAAGCAATGAAGAGTCCTAACGTATATTTAGTAGTTTCAGTGTGCTTGGTAGGTGGTAGGTGCCTCCCATGTACAGAGTCATGACAATTTCCTGAAGGTGTCTGTCCTGGAACATGGCACACAGACTTAGGTCTGGTGAGTAATGATAAGACCTTTTTTTATATTCTTTCTTGCCAATATGTAGATCATTATTTAAAAAACAAACGAATAAAAAAAACGAGACAGTGATCCTAACTGAAAGTATGGCAGGGCTTGGTAGGTCCAAAGCTGTGGGTCCCGCATCGCTAACAGTCCAGGACTCTGATGCAATGAGCAGTGCTGGAGATCATGCCTGGAGAAACACAGCCTGATACCTAGTAGGGCCGAATTAAAACTACTGATGTTGCAGAGAAGACGTGACATTAGAAACCTATGGGAAGTCACTGCACTAATTGCCTCCTTTGTCTTTATTCTTGTAGCCAAGCTGGGCAAAAGAAAAAAGGGAGCCACCCATTTGCTCCTGTTCCTCATCATAATCAAATTGTTTAATTTTTTTTAATTGAATACTGTCTTCCCTGGTTTAGTATTAAAAGGTACTTTTCAGAACAACCCAGGTTTCATTTAACTTAATTTTTATTTATTCATTTTTTTTAAACAGATGAGCCAGCAGTTGGCACTGTGAGCAGAAATGCTGAGCCCCCTTAATCTGCAGTGCCACTAATGGGAGATACTGATTAATATTTGATTGAAAACTGCGATTCTTTAACAAAAGCAAAATAGTGGCATGAAAGAGAATTGCTGTTTTAACAAACACACTGATTCAGGAGCAGTCCCCTGTACCCAGGAGTCCCTGGGTCCTGCTAATTGAAAACTGTACCACTGTCTGTCTTTATATTTCAGAACAAATGGTTACAAATGAGTATTTTCTTTTTTTTTGCAATAGGGAATTCTCATCAGTTCACCAGAAATTACTTTTCTGTTAAAAAAAAAAAAAAACGGCTGGCAGGAGTACTCTGCTCTTTACATTGAGCCAGCATTTGCATAAAATATTGATGAGAGTGGTTCCATAACTTGTTTCAGAAACAGGCTGCTTCTGGTGTCAAGTGCTGGTTAATCAACCAAATGGCAGATCAAATTAGCTAAGTTCTCTTGTTAACTACGTGTCCTGCTCTTTCCTATGAAAGTTTGGGCTGCTTTAAAATCTTATCTACAGAAATAACTGATGTATGCTCAAGGAGCTCTAAACGCTGCAGGCAGCGATGCTACTCATTACTGTCCCCACTGGACAGATGGAAAAAGTGAGACAGAGAGCCATTTCATAAACCAGCCAAGCCAAGCAAAAGGAGGACAGAAATCAAGCATTCAGACTTCACATTCAAGGTCTCTCGACTAGACCATGCATATGGTATGCTTATACAGAAAGCTATCACATCAGTATCTAAAGATTCCTCATGAGATAAGCAAGGCAGATATTTTTACTGCTGTCATTTACAAATGGGGAAACTGAGAGACAGAGATAGGAAAATGAATTGACTAAGGTTACATTTCTTGTCAGTAGAAGTTCTGGGCCTGGAACTTGGGGTCACTGGCTTCTAAGCCACTACGAATTCCACCATGGTTAATTTAAGGCCCTTCTTTCTGTCTTTTCTCCGTGCTATGCTTTGAGGAAAGGAAAATACAATGATAACACAGAAGTGCTACGGAAGATAATTACAGGAGCGAATAGTGATCTAAATCGACAGCAGAAAAGAGAATCCAAAAATACTAGCGTGTCTTCCCTACATCTTTTATTCTTCATTTAGCTACACTGCCTTTTCCTACCATAGTCTCTTGCCTGGTTTGCCTGCCTAAGTGGACATATATGCTACACCTGCAATAGAATCAGATGATCAGAAATGATTAGAAGCTCTCATGGCTTGAACTTGCTAAGATGGCACAAAGGACGCTGGGATGGAAACCCCAGTCTCCCTCTGCTGTGAGGTTATACGGGAGCCAGAGGTCATGCGGTCCACAAGACTGACGGAAGATATTGGTTGACACTGATACCAGCACAGGTAGCTAAGCTATAGATTAGTGTGAGGCACTGGACCTGCTGTTTAGGGATCATGCTCAAGTTTTTAGAGAATCACATGTTTTCAGTGAGTGTTAAGTAACAAGAATTTCAGAATTGTTAACGAATGCTTAAGCTGTGATTCCATGCCTCTCTCCGCTCTCTTTTTTTAACCACCTTCAGAAGAAAATATAGGAAATCACAAGCTGAGAGTTGTTCCATCTCCTTCTAGTTTTCCCCTAGAGTACCTCCCATTTTGGGGCTCTGGAGGTGGACGTAGGTGGAGAACTTTTGTTCTCCGTGCTTTCAGTTCTAGCAGCTGACACCATGAAGCTTTATGTCTAAAAGTCAAAAAGAACAAATGTTCTTCCTCACATGGCACTGAATTTAGGTAAAACTAGTGAGATGGGCGAAAATTAGTGCCTGGGGACTTATGGCCCAACGTTTTCTTTCAACGCGTGGTTTGGGGTAGCAGTGCTGTCCCGGAACCTGATGCTGAGAAGGAAAAGAAGCTCCTAACTAGGTCCATGGCAACTGCACTGATAATTCGATTAATAACAGAACGAAATCTCCTTCATGTTGCAAAGACATGGATTTCTGATAAGAATTGAGCAATATGTCAGACACATGTACTTTCATTTCTGCCTCTCTGGACTGATGCAGGAAACTGTAGTCAGACAATTGTTAACACTCAGTGTCAACCTTTATGAGTGGTTTAAGGAAGGAGGTATGTGGCATTGTCAAAGAGGGAGGCAATCATGGAAAGAGAACAGTTATTTCCGACTATTTTGTATAGCTGCTTTGCAAAAATACTGGTTTTCATCAACGCGCTGAGCCACTGCCTTTGCTTCTCTCATGGTGGGGAAGAAGAACCTACAATCTTCTTCAGGACCAAGTCATTTCTCTGTCACTTAAAGGACTCCCTGTGCTCAGGACTCCAGAGTTTTGTTCTTTGAAATAAGACGCTCATACCACGAGACAGGCCCAGTTACTCTCAGTCCATACCTGCTCTGTGCTACATGTGAACACTGACATTTTTTTTTGGGTTGTATTACTGTCAAGAGGACAATACTCTTAACATTTCTTTCAGGCACAGGCAGAAAACCTCAAGACTGAGATGAAAGCAACAAATTTTCTTTCTCATCCTCCACATCTCCCCCTTGCCCTCTTACCCCCAAATCTTCATTTGGAGACTGAACAGGAATGTGCACTGATAGGGCAGCCTGTCAGCCTTCCATCTGACAGTGATAACCTGAGCTAATATGCTGGCACCACGACCTTCTCAACTTGAGAAATAAAAGCTGATCATTTCAGGTACGGTGAAAAGTTCAGGCTGGATAACTTTATCACATGGGACATATTACAGAGTAACCTCTTGCTATATGTGATCGCTACATCTACCTTGACTGTGACACAGAGTTCCAATTAACAGTTAAGGAAGGAGACTTTATAGACAGCACACTCACCTCGACTCAGCCCATCGGGTCCCCGGAGAATCCGGCATTCTTCTATCTGGCCAAATGGAGAAAACATCACCCTGATATCATTCTCATTACATTTCTTCGAAACCATTCCTATGAACAATTTTCTGTCTTCCACAGCTAGGAGATAAAAATAATGAATAAGCAAAGGCCATTTCATCTTTCTTCTTATAATCAATGCTTCATCACCACATCAAACCAAGTCCCAGCCAGGAGACTGAACACAGGTCCTAAGGCTAACCCTTCGTACCAACAGTCAGCCTTCCTTCCTCCACGCACCCCATCTTGCCTCTTCTCTTCCACCTTACCCTTCCTGAATATTTCATCACTTTGTAAACTTGTTATTACTAATCAGACATCTTAATAGGACACAGCACACCTGTTGTTACATTTTTCCCTCCACTTGGAAACTAACAGTAATGTGTTTACTAGCATTGTGAAGTACTGTGTAATTGCTAAACACTACCATTCTGCTGTGAGATGTAGAATTGTTTTCAGATACAGATTTTAATTTGGGTTTTTGTAGATGTTCTTTTAACTTGAGTGACAGGGAAAGGGAAAGGTCAGGAGAGGAAAAACAACAGGAACGGATGTAGTGGAATTAGTGGACAAACTTTTAACAAAGCATTCAAGGGGAGAAAACATTTTCCTCCCCCTATTTTACATAGCTTCAGCCCCACTGATCTAGGCAGGAATAACAAGTAAGAGAAATTCTCATTTCTCTGGATAGCTGGTAAACTACCTCCTTTCACAGTATTACCTACATGGCTCTAACCAGGACAACACATGTGGTTCTCTGTGGTACAACTAAAGAGGAAGCCAATGCTCGTTAAGAGAACGGGGCTGCTGCTATTTGAGAATCATTTTAGGATGGCCATCTCAGAGTGAAACCCTTCAAAGCAACAACAACAACACAACAAAGAAAAAGGAGGGAATACTATTCTAATCACTTGGAGGTAGGATTCCTGATGCACACAAACACGTTTTAGGTATCATGGCCAATGACAAGCAAACTTGGATGATTGGAACCTGAGACGGGGGAAGTTTTACCTCAGATGGCCTGGGAGCTTTTTCTCACCATCTACATGCTTATGCTCAGAATACCTGGCCTACATTCAGCTTTAAAAACTAGGTTATAAACTGATTTCAGGACGACAACTATTGGAGTCTTTTTTAGGAGAAGCCCAAGGGGAGAAGTCTTGCTTACTTCCTATTGTTTCATTTCTCAGATTAAAAAAAAAAAAAAAAAAGATAGCTGGTCGTACCAGCACTAAAAAAAGAGCCCTGGTTTAGGGCAAAGGCTCCGCCGTCAGTCACTTGTATATAAACTTTTGTTTTATATTCTTGTAATTTGTGTTTTGATAGATTTTATTTCTGTTTCTCCTATTCCTTTCGTGGACAGTGTGTGTCTCATTTTCATTTAAACAACAAGCATTTATTCCAGACTTACTAGGGCCAGGTGCTTCTGGGGACACCTGGGTTAAAGTACATGGCCTATGCCCTCCAGGAGCTGGGTATAGAAGATTTATTCACGAAGCAGTTAAATAACACCGCGTGCTATACTCTGAAGCAGCATTGTGCAATAGAACTCTCTGAGGTATCAGAAAAGTTCTATGTCTGTGCTGTCCAAACCGCTAGCTACTACTAGCCACATGTGCCTACTGAGAACCTGAAACGTGGCTAGTGCAGCTGAGGAACTTAATTTTTAACATTAGTTAATTTTTATTAATTTGTTATTGTTTGCTGTTGAGTAGATTCCAACTCATGGTGACCCCCTGTGTGCAAAGTAGAACTGCTTCATGGGTTTTCAAAGATGTAACCTTTTGGAAGAAGATCACCAGGCCTGTCTTCTGAGGCACCTCTGGATGGGTTCGAACCACCAACCTTTCAGCTAGCAGTTGAGTGCTTAAGTGTGTGCACCACACAGCCACCGTAAATTTAAATCATCAAATGTGGTTAACCTGTTGCCATCCAGATGAGTCTGACTCATAGTGACCCCGCAGGACAGAGGAGGACTGCCCCATAGGGTTTCCAAGGAGAGGCTGGTGGATTCGAACTGCTGATCTTTTGGTTAGCAGCCATAGCTTTGGACCAGTGCACCACTAGGGCTCCCAAATGTGATTAGTGGCTACTATATTAGATGGCACAGCTCTGAAGGGTCTAAATGAAATAGTTAAATGCTCCTTGTTACAGAATCCCAGACCAGAAGAAAGAGACTTGAGAGATGTGTTGTCTAACCTAAAAGAGAGCCCCAAGGTCTGGCAGGGGGAAGGCACTTGCCTTCGGTCATTTAGCAAGTATGTGGCCTAACCTGGACCACAACTCGATAGCCTACTTGCAGCTCAGTGTTCTTTTCACTTCACTGAGTTTTCTCCAAGTTCAGAAGAGGCAGACGACGCTTAAAGCGAAGAGCAATGGCTATAATTAGGAGACCAAGGTCTTAGTTCCAGCTCCGCCATTAATTTGATGTGTGACCTTGGAGAATTACCTGACCTCTGTGGACCTCAGTTTTATCACTGTAAAATGAAGGTTTAAACTCTATTCTTTTTCTCTTTTCTTTCTCTTTCTTAAGCAATGGAGATAAGGTGGCTCAGCAACAGAGAGAAGACAGTTCAGCTCTATGCTCTAGTTGACGAGAGCACTTGAGGAGGTCCGGGAGGTTGTTGGGGAGCAGTACTCAGAATTGCTTCTGTGCAGCTTCTTTCTCCACATTTGTGACAACTCCTAAGACAACTGTGACAGACTCTAAGGATTCAAGGAATACAGGTTGAAACCACAATTCCCCAATACTTGTAAAGTATGAATTATGTACCAAAGTATTTGAGAACAACTTAATGGAAGTTGTGAAATTCAGGTTGGACTTTAAGAACCATAAAAAACCAAACCAGACCCATTGCTGTCAAGTCAATTCTGACTCACAACTACCCTACAGGACAGAGCAGAACCATCCCATAGGGTTTCCAAAAAGCAGCTGGTATTTGAACTGTCGATCTTTTGGTCAGCAGCCAAGCTCTTGAGCACTAGGTCACTAGGGCTCCTTAAAAAGCACAGGCAGGGTCATATTCAGGTTGGTAGAGACACAGGAAAAAACAACACACTAACTAGGCAGGGACAGAGTCATGAATAAATAAGAACTGTACTTGGGGTAGATGGAGGAAGGCAGCCTGACTTGGTACAATAGGCAGTATTTTCTGCTCCATGTGTAGAGAAGGAGCTCAATATATAAGTAAGAGAAAGTCAAAGATCATTGCGTCTGTTGAAACTCATCAAAAGTAGACATGGGTGATGGGCATTGTTGGCTCTTATTCCTGAGAGGGAGGCTGTTGAGGACCTGTCTTCCTTTAAGTGGATGAAAAATGTTAAAGTTCTTTTTTCTTCTTTCACAGCAGGCGAACTACCAATCACCTACTGTGAAGTGGTGAAAACATAGGAAGTCAAGGGCAGAGTTGGTGCAACAATTATCCAAGCTTTAGCAGTATCGGGTACCTGGGACAAGGAGCTTTCTTTCTGATGGGAGTCTTTGTGATCTCCCAAATCAGGGCAGCTATGGGCTATCTGTGATATTTGGATTCCTTAGCATGTAGGACTCTGGTGAGGTCCTGCAAGGATGTGACATTCCCTTGAATGGGAAGGATGGAACCGACTGAAAGGGGACTAAGCAGGGAGGGAAAAACTTCTAGTTTGTACTTGCCTTACCCTTTCTTCCTTCTCATCTCTGAGACTCCTACCCCAAGGAAACTAGGGCTGGTATCTTTATGAGAGTTCAAAAAAAAAAACCTTTTATTTCATCATATCCTAAAGAATCTGGTTCTAGTTCTTTTAAACAAAAGCAAATGATAAATTCCCAATTGATCCTTGGTTTCACTGGTAAACCTATAATTATGGCACTTAACAAAAACGATTTGCAGATTTTGAGCTGCAGGGTGATGTTATAGTAAATTAAACATGTAGCTCCCGAGTAGGCTAAAAATGATTTTTTTTCTCCTTAAGATGCATATTAAGAAAATGGAAACTGCTTAAGAAGAAATCCTAACTTCCTAAGCCATCAGTAAAGGTAAACTCAGACAGTTAAGGAGATGATAACTTTCACATTTTTTTTTAACAAGTATTATCTAAGAAAAAATGGAAACTTATGCAATCCATATGTTAATTAAAAGTACAGTGGCTTTCAATGAAGTGCATTGGAAATAGGTCATCCTTTAAAATTTCTTGTGCGCTACTAGTGCTGCTCATTTTGTTCTTCTGTGTGTGTGTGTATGTGTGTGTGTGTATGTGTGTATGTGTGTATGTTGCATGTGCATGACCCTGCGTAAAGGAAGCCGGACATTAGTAATTTTTATTAGCCAAAGTTGCTCCATAGTTTTAACAGTCAGGCCATGTTTGTTTTAATGAAAAAATGGGGATGATTAAATATATCCAGCTTTCCTCTCCCTTGAGCTTTCCTGATTTTCCAGTGAAAATGTATTCATAAAATTTATTCCAGTGATTCCCATCCCACGGATTCCTAATAGCTTTGTAAATATTTTAACAAACACAGTTATCTTTAGTTCACCTTTTTTTTTAAATTAAATTTTTGACAAAATTTCCTCGTGAGTTTTTCCTAAGTATTCAGAGGCAGCAAGTATCTCATTTAATTTTTTTCAATCCACATGAATGCCAATTGGTTAAATAAACCTATTACGTTCATGGTATTCTACTAGCTGCTTCCCAGTGCTGTAGAGTTGATTCCAACTCATAGCATCTAGGTGCTTAGGGGAATTAAAAAAAAAAAAAGAATTAGAAGCAAAAGTCCCTACCCTCTAGGGAAAAAAATCTACCATCCTCTAGGATTACCAATCAATGAGTAGGAGAAGATACTTTTAAGCACGAAGTGCTACACAGATGGGATTACCTCCAATAACAATACCAAGCTGAAAGATGTTTCAGATTAGTGACCATGTAAACCTCTCCTTCCATAGCATAAATGAATAAGGGTTAATACTTTATAAGTCGTGACATTTTTTTAAAGTTAGGGGAATAGAACTTCATTTTTAAAAAATCTCCAATTGTAAATCTGTGCTAACACCCTAGTGTACAATCTGTCAAAGTCACACCTGGATTCAGGGCTGCCTGAATTAATTAACAACTTTTCAATGTGTTAGTGCTAACATATGGCATTTAATTACTGCCTCCAAATCTGTGAGTCCCTCCACTTTGAATTTCAGAATTATTTCTTCATCTTCCAGTAAATAAGAAAGTGAATGGATGGAAACACCTCATGGTTCCTATTTTTAATGGAGGATTTGCAGGTCTTCACCCTCACTCGACAATATTTAGTTATCTTGACTCCTTCTAGCTCCGAACTTGACGCATTGACACTGGAGGATTCAGAAGCCTTGAGAAAAGAGAAAGTGGGCTGAAATGGCATTTCTGGATTCTAGGCTTTCAGGACCCCTGACAAGTTGCGAGGTTGGAGGGTTAAAGCAGGATGGATTTATGCTCTGTCTACAGAGTAAAAAACAATCCTCTTTACAAGGAGCACGACACCATAGTGAAGACTGGTTACAGCCACAGGGACCCCTAGCACAGATACTGGAGGCAACCTCTATGCTATTTCTATCACTCACTGCTAGACAAACTTCAGACCCAGCAACTGCTTTTCATTTTCAATCTTGCACAGCTGGTGCCTCTATTTGAATAGCAATAGCAGAGTAAAAGCTGGAAAACAGGCCCTCCGATGGTATACAGCATGAAAAAGAGGAACTATGTGCTAGTTTACACTGGTACTCCAAATCAACACCTCCTTCGATGCCCTTCCTTTACCATCACCCAAACGCTCTGCAATGGAAAAATAATAAAAAAAAGTTGGATTTTGTTGAAATAAGCGCTCCCCAATTTGGGTTATTTGTTCAGTGTGTTCTTGAAGGCCCTGACATTTTATTGCTTATCTAGAGTGAGACTTTTTTTTGTCTTTTTGACACCTGGCACTGTAGAAGCACGTGGGCAGGAAGTAAAATGCTGTGAGTCTGCATAAATGTGTAGAAACTGCAGCTTAAACCAGAGCCAATTTAAAGGGCAGGCTGTGGGAAGTCATAGAATCCTGATGGCACAGAGGTTAAGAGCTCCGCTGCTTACCAAGAGGTCAGTAGTCGAATCCACCAGCTGCTCCTTGGAAACCCTATGGGGCAGTTCTACTCTGTCCTATAGGGTTGCTATGAGTTGGAAAAGACTTGACGGCATTGGGTATAGGAAGTAGTGGAGGTTTAGGAAGCCTGTTCAAAAAAATACTGAAGTGCAGGGCTAATATAAGTGCAATCTAACATTTCTGGGCTCACCTCAGAGGTTCATTTTGCCAGAATCTCTAGATGGACAAAGGCTTAAAAAGGTGATTGCTTTTTTCGAATTATCTGTCCATCACTAATTAATATGTGATTAGCAGCCCTTTCGTGCTCAGCAAATAAAGTTTTAGAAATCTGAACATACTGATAATGAAGACAGTAACTGTCTAACTGTGATGAGTCCTTTGTGCTATCCATAAATGTCAGCAAACTCAATAAAAGTGCAATTAGAGCTTGTTAAGACTTTCACAGTTGCAAGAGATAGAGCATCTGAGTCACAGAAATCTTTGTGCTCTTTGAACTTATGAAACTGCTTACCTGTCAAAAATGCCTTGTGAAATCAGAAAAGGCTCCCACCTTTTATTACTTGCTTTATAAAATTATACTTTTCTCTTGATTCCTCAATCAGGTCCAAAGAGAACCTTGAAACCTGCTCACGTCTATGCAAGGTGACGTGCATTTGAGCCTCTATAAAGAAGAGCCCTTTAAAAGCCGCTTTCAGTCCATTTATACTTTCTGACCTTTCATACTGGAAACTCAGGAAATGAAAGTCAATGCACAAAGCAAAAGGAGAACTGGCCCAACTAAATTTGAAGTTTTCATTCATATGTACAGACTTCTGGGTTGGTGTGAACAGCCTAAGTCTGGACATGCCAGCCTCTGCTGCTCAGACAGAAACCCGCAGCTACCTCAGCTGGCCGGAGTCACACCATTATTTAGTAACTCCACACATATTGAATATTTACCATGTGCCAAGTATTATGCTAAGCTCTTTACAGATATTAGATCATGTAATCCTCAAACGACCTTGTAAGCTAGGCGCTACAGAAACAGTTAAGATTATAGACTACTGTAGACCCATCTTACAGCTAAGACACTGGGGCTCATGAGGATAAGTAACTTGTCCAAGGATGCTAGGAGTCAAATCCAGCCTTCTCAAAGTATCTTTTAACTGCTACCCTTTGTTGTCTCCTTAAATATGGTGTTTTTAGGTATCTTCTCATCCTAGCAAATTACAGTGTCCAATCCTGCTTGGCTTTTGAGATCAGGCAAAACTGGGTGCACCCATGGTAGTTTTATTCTGTTGCTGTGGTTCTAGATCTGAACATTACCCTCAGTGCCCAGAATAGACACTGGACAGCAAGGACAACAAACCACTCTGAAACATCCTGGCACTCAGGCTACGAAACATATTCCCTAAGTCAGGGTTTATAGCTGCACAGTAGAAAATGTAAGAGAAGAACCCTTCATCGTTCAACTATTTGGGTCTTTCAGTTCTCAACTCAGTTCTCTAATTCCTCACAGTTGTATAACTACAACCTAAGGTTCAGAAGGAAGATGGACCCTTTCCCACAGACTTTCATTCCATGGCCTTTGTCTTGACACAGTTTGGGGAATTATGGGGCCAAAGGACAGGGAGTATCTTTTGGTGGCCAGAAGCTCCAAGATGAACCACAATACAAGATTCATCTATCCTCTCTCCCATGAGAAACAGAACAGACCCCAAATGTACACCTCTGGGGCAAAAGGGCTCAGGAAATCAGAAGGGGTATAATGGCCTTCTGCATTAAGCAGACATGCTCAACGTAGAACCCTATGAAGCCAGGGGAAAATCTAGGTGATAACAACAATCAATGTTTTACAGAAGTGCTCCATCATTTACAAAGCACTTTCATAAACATCTTATTTAGTGTAAAAATCAAAAACAAAAAGCCAATCTGTGTAAGGCAGATACCATTATTCCCATCTGATGAATGATAAGATTAAATAAAGTTCAGTGTTTGAGTATTAGACATTTAAAGTCAGTAGACTGAATATAAGTTCGATGAAGGCAAAGACAGAGTCTTTTGCAGTATTTTCTGTTTCTTCTTGAAATTCCCTGTTGAAGTCCCAGCACCTAGCAAAATGCTCAACACAAGTAATCAATGAATAATTGTTAAATAAAGAAATGAACAAGATCCTACAACAAAGTAATGGCAGATTTTAGAACTTCTGACACTATATTTCATGTGTGTGATAAAAGTAGTATAGGATAAAGGGAACAAACTCTAAGAAAAGTATGGGGCTGTGAGAAGATGGTGGGTAAAGCCCAAAGCCTACTCTCCAGTATGGCAAAGCTCTGACAAATCAAGTGCTAACAGTACCTCAATGTGACTTCCAATTTTCTTCAAAACTTTCTAGTCTGTGGAGAAGCCAGAAGATGCGATGTACTACAATTAGCAAAAAATACCTTGTGGAGAGATTTAGAGCCCAACCATAATTTACATTTGCAGATATGTAGATCTCTAAGTGCATGGCTTCTGCCCTGATTACTAATTAATGAGGTGCAAAACTGTCTGTTGGAAGGAAACAGTGCTGATTATGTCAGTCTTGTGGGACAGAGAAGCTCTGCGGTCTAGGAACGCAGAAGATTCCTTTAACAAACATTTCAGTAAATTAAAAGAACAAAACAGGGACAGAAGGTTTGTATGAATGGAAGTAAAAACTTAAAGTGAGAAATATGGCTATCAACCCTCACCCGTCCCGGAGAGGCAAATCCCAATTATTTCATGGACCTCATAAAATGCATATTTTTGCACTGAGTGTACGTTTATTTAATCAGCAGACTGCATTCTGAATGAATTCTGATGCAAATGTATTGGCACAATTTAGAGAAGAGTACAATAAGACAGTCTTCATGCCAAAGAGGAACAAATGGAAGAGGAAAAAAATGTATACAGCCTAATTCTTTTTTTTTTTTTTTGTGATTTAAGTGAAAGTTTACAGAGCAGATTAGTTTCTCATTCAAAAATTTATACACCAACTTTTTCATGACTTGGCTGCAAATTCGCATTGTGTTAGCACTCTCCCCCTTTACCTTCCCACCCCGGTTCATCGCGTTCATTTGTCCAGTTCTCCTGTCCCCGCCTGCCTTCTTGGCTTTTTTTCGTGTGCAGGTGTTGCTCATTTGATTTCGTATACTTGACTGATCTAAGAAGCACGTCTGTCTTAAACAGGCCTGCCTAATCTCTGGCTGAAAGATGAACTTCGGGAGTGGCTTCAAGTCTGAGTTAGAAGGGTGTCCAGAAGCCACAGTCTTGGAGGGCTCCTCTCTAAATAGCTTAATTCTTAATGGACAATTCCTTTCCCACTCACACTCTCTGTACAACATAAGGTTATTCCTCCCCATCACGTGTTTCTATGCTGCTCTGTGGGAGGAGATAAACAAGAACTCAATGCTACAGGGTCACTACACACAGCAAGCCCCAAATGGAATAAAATAGAAAACAACTTGTAACACCTTCACAGATCTTTACACCAGAGATAAATGAGGCAGGAGAGCCAGTCTGCATTTCTCCCAACCTGCCAACTGCAGCAGAAGTTTCCTGGAGCAGTTCTTTCAGCCTTTCTGAGAGCAAAAGCAACGGGGGGCTGGCTCCTCCCTCTCCCGTTTGACTTTTTAAAGAAACAGACATTATTAAATGAGACAGTTGGTTATCACCTACCGTTTGACTTTTCACTGTCTGCCGGTTTCATCTGAATGGGATGATGCATCTAAAAATACAAAAGTGAGAAAGTAAAGGCAGACTGAATAACTGTAAACACAGTCTCTAGAAATCTGATACTATTAATCTTGAGCTCTGATGATGTTAAAAGGGCACGTAAGTAATGACAAGACTCCTCCTAGTTAAATTAACTACGTTAAAATGCAAGCCTGTGTTTTATGGTCAGGAATATAATCCTTTTATGTCACGGAGCACTGTAACACAGTATTTAAAAGCTTGGGCTTTGGAGTGGGACTTGAGTTTGAAAGCTGGTTCTGCCACGCAACATAGTTTCTGCCTCTATCCTATAGTTTATCCCGAGTCTGCCATTAGAAATAGCTACAAATATGACCTTGGGCAAGTGTCTTAACTTCTCTGAGCTTCAGTTTCCTCACCTGTGAAATAGTAGGGTCATGAGAAAATGCATGTAAAGTGCATAGCAATCAAAGCATGGATGTGCTACAAAGAATGTTAAGTTACTTTTACTGTATTATTACAAACTTAAATGCAAATTATTCTTGTTTTTCTTCTGGCTATTCCATGTCTGCTACATAGATTTTTCTCAGGTCTCACAGTTATGTAATAAGTAATGTTAAGGTCTAGCTGTTGACTGACTTGGTTGTCCAAGCCACTGAATGAATAGAAGGAAGGAAGGAAAGAAGGAAGGAAGGAGGGAGGGAGGGAGGGAGACAGGCATGGACCTTACAACAGTATGCATGTAGGGATAAGAAAGAACCTGAAACACCAACTCATACCAAACCCACTGCTGTTGAGGTGATTCCAACTCACTGCGACCCTATAGGACAGGGTAGAACTGCCCCATAGGGTATCCAAGGCTGTAAACCTTTATGGGAGCAGACTTCCACATCTCTCTCCCCACAGGGCAGCTGGTGGGTTCAAACCGCCAACTTTTTGGTTAACAGTGTAATACTTAACCACTGCACCACCAGAGCTCCTACCTGAAACACCCAACTAACGTCATGAGTCGATTCCGACTCACAGTGACCCTATAGGACAGAGCAGAATCGCCCCATAGGGTTTCCAAGGCTGAAATCTTTATGGAAGCAGACTGCCACATCCTTCTCCTGTGGAGCAGCTGGTGGGTTCGAACAGCTGACTGACTTTTTGGTTAGAAGCCGAGCACACTTTTAACCACTGTACCACCAGGGCTCCTTACCTGAGACACAGTGGTGTCAAAATCCTGAATCATGGCAGAACTGGATCCTCTCTGATTGCTTATACAATGCTGATCACACCACTATGTGTGATCCACAGAATTTACTCCAAGCACAGAATGCTACCACCATTTCCAATTAAAATAAATTCCTCAAACTACTTTCAAAGGTCTTCTTGTTTCATATTTCATCATACCCCAAGGAACACAGAAGCCACAGGGTGGACAGAATCACTGGCTGTGCAAATGCTTTTATTGTAATGGGTCCCGTTCTCTCTGCACCTTTAATTTCCCCAGTGGACTTCCATCACTTATGAGCCACAGCTCTGGGTTTTATCTAATTTAAATGAAAGGGGACTGGTACTTGGCTCTGGCACTTAAATGATGGAAAATGATTATCAGGCAGTTAGGACCACGTGCACCTAACACCTACAGGGTCTTCAAAACACAAGAGGATGAGGAAAGAGGGAGTACTGTCAAGGGATAAGCAGCTAAATAATTCAGGGCTATTTCATTTATTCTAAAAGGCAAGATGCTCTTATGCACAGAACATAGGCCTTGAGATGTGGCGTCTACTAGTATTTCCATTTCATTCTTTAATATATTCAATTTGTAGAGGAGAGACTAGCAGGAGAATGGAATGTTTCAGGGTCAGTAAGTAGTCTAGTCTTTTTAGAAAAGAGTGGAATATATACCCAAAAAGCAAGCAAAGGTAAACTGTGCAAACTCCTAATCCTGGCTAAAGGAATGTGACCCTTACCCTATAGGTAATGGAACGAAGACAAAAAAAAAAGTATGAGGAAGATGGACTGAGTCTTTGAATAAACTACCCTCCCTGTGTGCATCTATCCATTTGCCCAGCAAATATTTATGAAGCACCTACTATCTGCCAGGCTCTAGGCTAAGAAGTGGAATGCAAAGGTGAAGTGAAGACAGTTCATCACCCCTCAGGTACTCACTGTGTCATGGGGGAGACTGTCATGTAAACAGCCACCTGAACCACATGATAAGTGCTATGTAGAGACAGGAACAACGTGTTATGGGGTGCAGGAGAACAGGCACTTCATTCTGCCTGGTGAGGAAGGGAAAGCTTTCTAACAAAGGTGGTATCTGATTGGTGTCCTAAAGGACAAATGGGACTTCCCAGCAGAGGAAGGTTGGAGTAGGATTAGAAACAAATGGAATATCCCGTGCAAAGATACAGTGGTGAGAAAGAGCACAGTTCCTCCTAGGAGAAGTACAAGATGTGTGGGAGAAAGGCACTAGAGGGGGCTGCAAAGGTGGTCAGCATCCCTGGCACAGAGAATCTCATGTGCTAAGGAACTGAAAGTTTATCTAAGAGTGAAGGGACAGCTATTGAAGATTTTCAGTAGCAAAGGCAATAAGATCAAATCTACATTCTAGAAAAATCATTTTTTGGCTACAGTGTGGAGGATGGATTATAGAAGGGAGGCCTAGCAGGCAGGGAGAACACCTAAGCTACTGCAAACAGTCCAGGTGAAACTGATGAGGGTCTAAACTTCAGTGGTAGATGGCTGGTTGTGGGGATGAGGGAGAGGAGGAGCTCCAGGATGACAGCCAGTCTTGGGCCTAGACAACTGTATATACTGTGGGACCATTGCTCAAATAGGGAAAACATGAGCAAGTAGTTTTAGGGGAGGCTAAGTTCAGGTCTGGACATGCTGAACTTGATGTGGCTGTGGGATATAGAGAGAAGTTGGAAATATGGGTCTCATACTCTGGGGAGGGGTCCGGCCTCTAGAGTCTGCTTTGGGCAGTGGTGGCAGAACCCATAGGCATGGATGAAACTGTCCAGGGTGGGGATGTAAAGTGAAAAGATTCAAGAGCCAAGGGCAGATCATGGAGGATATCAAGAAAGAAGAGCTTCAGAAGGAGAGAACAAAGGGCAGTCAGAGAAGCATGGGCAGAAACATGAGCAAATGAAGATACAGGAGGGACAAGATAATTGCACCTACATTATGTGTGAGACACAAGGATGAAATGAATATGACTTTGCCCTCAGGGAGCTTACAGGTCCTCATGGTGACTGATATGTATGTACAGAAATAAACATAATTGAAGGAAGGGAGACAAATGGGATAAAAGGAGCACAGATAGAGCGCTACGAGAGTTCAGATTCATCTGTCAAGTGCATGGAGAGTGGAGGAGGAAATCTGGAAGCTGCAAGGAAAGAATCACTCTACTCGAAAGCTGCAAACCCAAAAACCAAACCCACTGCTGCTGAGTCGATTCTGACTCATAGCAACCCTACAGGACAGAGCAGAACGGCCCCATAGGGTTTCCAAGGCTGTAAATCTTTATGGAAGCAGAATGCCACATCTTTCTCCTACGGCACGGCTGCTGGGTTCGAACTGCTGACCTTTCGGTTAGTAGCTGAGAGCTTTAACCACTGCGCAACCAGGGCTCCTCGAAAGCTACAAAGGGATTGGCAATCATTTAGTCCAATGCTTTCAACTTATAGGTCTAAGGAGGATAAATGACTTCACTAAGGACACCCAAATGGTTAATGAGCATTGGGATCTGAAATCTAATCTCCTTATTTTTAATCCAATGCTGATTCCCCTGTACCACACTACTTCTCCACAAAATGTTCAACATGGGGCTTAGACATATGATGAAGAACTGCAGGCTCTACTCATTGGAGGAGCCAGAAAACACTTGCTTGAAGGTACCTGAAATATCCCTTTAGGTGAAAGTACTCTTTCCTGCCTCTGAACTCCCATAACACTTTATCTATGTATCTTTAAGATAAGACTTGACTCTTGGTTTCCTCATAGCTGCTGAGAGAATTAGCTCAGTTTCTGTCCTAGACTACCCAGGAGGCTCAGGAATGTAACAATGGTAGTAATGAAGCAGTTACCGCCACTACAGACTTGAACTTTGTTTTGGTCTTGCTTGGGCCCGGAGGGGGAAAATCAATTTCACAGAGATCTGGATTGTCAGACCTCAGTGAATTCTGAATGGGTGGTCATCCTACTTCAGGCATGTTCTGAAGACAATTTAGATTATGTAAAGCACTGTGACCTTCTTGGAGAAAAGTATTCAATCAGTTCTGTATTAAGAATGCCTCATTACCATGAATAGTTCATTTGAGTTACAAATTTGTGATCACATACAAGATGTAAATGTCAAGGAAGACCAAAAAATGGTTTGGAGGAGTTGTTCTCATAATTTTGTTTCACCTCCTCAAAATCTCATGATTCCGAGAAGTTTTGGAGATTTATTCAGTGGAGTAGGGATGTTATTGCAAAGGATTAGGCATTCTAGTTTAAAGTTTCAAGTTATAATAAGGGATTCTCTCCCTATGGCAGGAAATGGTTTCAAAGATTTGACCCGGTATGACTCTAGGACTACTCAGTCATTCTTTTATGTCTGCTTTTACCAGGCACTATGTTCGAAGCTGGGAATACAAGGCTGAAAAAGAGTTACTGTCATGATGGAGTGTGTAGTGTGGTGGTAGAGACAAACAGATACATCAACCACTTCCCACAGTATGATATGTGCCACCCTAAGACATGCAGCATGGGAACTCAGAGAAGGGGCACTCAATGTAGACAAAGGAAGAGCAAGCTGAAGGTTTCTCAGATAAAGCAGGGTTTGAGTTTAGTCCTGAAAAATCCTAATGTTAACCAGGAGATGGGTGAAGGACATTTCAGGGAAGTGAACAATGTATTCAAAGGCACAGAGTAAGAAAATAGGTCCTATTTGTTATGGATTAAATTGTGTCCCCCAAAAATATGCATTGTAAATCCTAACCTCCAGGCCTGTGGTTTAATCCCCTTTGGGAATAGGCTGTCTTTGCTATGTTAATGAGG